TTCTTCATATCATGTTAATCCCTGTCAATCATACAATGCCTTATTTTATTCTAAAACTTTTCATATCATTTAAACATTTTACATTTGACTTCCATAAATTCTATCAGACCATGTCTATGTTCATCACATATAGTTTTCTACTATATTTATCCTTTCTTTTCCCTATATGCCAGTTCCTTCATTATCCTCTCCTTTCTTTTCTCAAACATGCCAGTTCCTTCATTATCTAACCAGTACATGATTGTTTGCACAATCCCCACACACACGTATCTCACACACCAACCTTTTTGTTTTTTCACTTCCCTCTTCCACCAAGTCTCACTTACAGTTCCCTCTATTTCACACAGACAGCCTTATTGCTTCTTGCTACTTCAATCCTTGTCATATAAATTTAAGTTCTATAGACATCTAATGTCATGCATCCATTTACAATCCATTATCTGTTCACATTTTTTACACACATGTTGAACGCAGCCACAACAACCTTTTGTCCCGCTGCCCTGTTCCACTGATTCTCGCACACTCTTAGTCTATTTGTGCTCAGTGTTCCCTCCCTGGGGAAATCATGGTATTTTCTCAGTTTTTTCAATATCTAAAACATACATTTCCCCCCATACTTTCCTAGTTCTACAGAAAACCGGTGTATCAAATTTGGCATGCTTACTCTGAGATTTTCCCATACTGGCTGTTTTCTGTTCCCTGTGGATTTCTCTTCAACGCGCGTTTTCTTTAATCTGTTAGGCGTCCCTAACAAATCCGACTCTTTTCTTTTAACCCAAATCGGTCGGGTTGCACTATTAGTGCCCTCCTAATTATGGTTTACCAAAAAATTCTGGTTCCCCCTAATTAGCCTCAGTACCTAAAAACAATTTGCTCCGTCGTGGAACAACTAATTTTCAGGGTACCTATCTGTTTGAAATCTCTTGATCTGTTACAGTTCTCACTTAATCCCAGATTATTTATCTGCTTGAAATTTCTTGTTCTGTTACAGACCTCAATTAATCTCAGATCATTTTCCCTCGTATCTGTTTGAAATTTCTTGATCTATATAGATCTCAATTAATCTCAGATTACGTACCACAGAAACAGCCTTCAGCCAATATGGTTCAATTTCACTCTTCTCCCCAATTAAACTGAATTTAATTAACTTACCCAAAAGAAAATAAATTGAACTGTCTCTTACCAGAGATGCTTCTGTTGCCACCGGGTTCTTTAGATTCCAGTGGTCGATTCTCCCGGCCCTGATATCGGTCGGCCCCTCTCTCTCAAGTTTACGAGCTAGAGCTGGAACTTACTTAGTCCAGGTGGCCAAACACCGTCCGATCTCAGGTCCAGGAGGCACGTCCAAGGAATATCACTTCTGACACCAAAACTGTTGTGGCAAAAATTCATCTCAAACAACATCACTGCGTAAGAGACACTCAGAGTCAAATTATATAAAATAGAAGTATTTATTCTTGCAAGAATAGGAGCAGTCTAATACACAGTTGTTACCCTGTGCAGAAGAGTGACACACCCCCAGACAGACTGAACTAGCTTTTATCTTAGTTTCAAGGCCTTCTTCCCCCCAGAGCCTTCCTCCCAGTAGTTTTCCATAGACGTCACTAGTTGGCCCACTAAGCTCCCCTGCACCAAATGGCCTTCTGACATCTAGGTCAGAGGTCCTTGTTCGTCTGTTCTCTGGAGTGTCTCCCTCTTCTGCCTCCCCAGGTACATAAACAGAATCTTCTCTCACTACAAGTGAGAGACACACATGTGACATTCTTTGAATCATCTATATTTTACTAAAGATCAATGAATATCATTAAAATTGCCACTACATAATGAATGAACCCCTAAACGGTTCCATATAGAACCTTTTTCATGGTTTTTGTGTAAATATGTTTATCACATGTTATTTGCATGTTTTGTAATCGGGTAAAACATTTTTATCTGACTCAATTGTGCATGTGCATTAGTAGAATTTAACTCATCTTGGTGTTTACATCAAACAACAGTTTTTTTTTTTTTTATGTGTTCTACCTGCCATGCAGTATACCCTATTTCAAGTCTGACTATGCCAGCCCCTGATGATGGGCAGAAGGAACCACAAATCTTCCCGTGAATGTAGTGTGGCTAATAATATGTGTATCCACGCAAAAAAGAAGTGAACAGACATGTCAGGCAGATATGTAAATGTCTTCCAAATTTATTATATATTTTAATGCAAAAAGACGTAGAAAAGTTATTACAACGGATCTTAAAAATACTGGGATAAAGGACTGGTGGATTTTCCTCAATCTAGGAAGGTTGGATCAGCCAATGCAAAACCCCTGCTCAGGAGGCCCCTGGGGAGACAGAAACAGGAGACAGCAACCCAGCACCAGTCGAAGCATGCAACACAGCAAGCTCTACACACTTAAGATCTTTAGATACCACTACAAAATATCACACCGTGTTGTAGTTATAACTTATAAGTACACACCAATACAGTGTCTCTACCAGTGTGGTCCCCTGAAGAGAAGGGGCAAAAAGCATCAGTATGGATCCGGCCTTGTACAAGGATAACCTACACAGAAGACATAGTTAGGGAAGAGAACCACCAGCATAAATGGCAACACTCAGAGTCAAGAAAAATTATTTTAAAAATGCTACTATTAATGTGGCACATGAGTGGCAAAATTACAGATAACCAAACAACAACAGGAAGCAATAAAGAAACGCTTATTAATCACATGAAAACAGTGGCTGGCCTGGTCCTTTTCAGTATGCTCAACTGTCCTACAGCACATTAACACATGCAGAGAAAAGGTGAACGTTCCGTTGCAGTGCAGCCCAGCAGCTCGATTCACAATGGGGGTGATCGCATAAATGTTAAACCTCCATACAGAAGCATGTGTCCTCCTTGAAGAGTATAGACACGCGCTTCTAGAATTACCCTGCATGAAAAGGGAGCCCAACTCACACAACAGTGTCTCACATCAACACAAAAAAGTCTGCCTTGCAGCCAGCAAACATTTATCACTTCCTGATTAGTCATGTGACCTTACAACAGATCATATGATCCCGGGTGTTGAGTGAATGTGCTGCATCTGTGGCTGCGTTCCAGTCCACTTTTAGACACGCACTCGCGAACTTCCCTAAGCACTTCCCCTCGGGGGAATCCCTGCCGCCATTTTGAAGTGCGTTCCACTTCGTGAAGTGAACAAGGGAAGTTTATATGGACAGACACTTGTTCCCTCGATTTAGACGGAGGGAGCGAGTCTACTTCATATGTACACTTCAGGCACCTTTATGGCCCACAATGCAGTACGATTGTGACGTAACCACAGATCGTCAAATCACAACCACAATAAACCACTCTATGATATATTCATTATTTTTGTATTTATTTACTTAAAACAACCCAACCACCTATATGCATATGGATGCTGCATTAAACAAATGTTTAAAGGGAAAAAAAGCAAATAATAAATAAACTCCACAGCTGATTCCAAGTGATCAAGGGCTTAGGACGTTCCAATTCAGCTTATTGCGGTTTCCTCCAGTAGTGGGCACTCGTGCAACGTAAGCAATGACGTACATCCGAGTGAACGAGGCGGAGGGAAGTTAGCGAGTGAAGGGCATGTCAATTTTGGACTGGAACGCAGCCTGTGTTGTACGCCTGCCTGAGTAGATCCCCACATATGAGATATTCCAAAAACCACATAAAATTGGTATGTGTAAACAGCTATATTGTTCTTATACAACTATGCAAAGCTGTTACAGTACTGAATAAAGACTGCTTCACCTTTCCTTGTCCCCGACATACCAGCAAGGTATTAGCAGCAAGGGTGTGAAGGATAAGACAATGATTTATCAGGACATTTTTTTAATGGGGTTTACAGTTTAATACAATACACATTACAAAAAAAATACATCTGCATTTTAAGCTCATGCAAGCTTCTGCTAAAAGTAGCTTCATCTGTAAAAGTCGCTGGCACTCTAAAATATTAAAGTCTGGGGCCCTGTTTAAAAAAGGGGTATAAGATCAAGAATAGTTCCTTGAATATCAATCCCGATTTCAAAGACACATAGTTAGATCTCACAGTAATATCACTGGTTTATTTTAGTAAACCTTTCATCTGTCTTTCTGTGATTCAGTATTTTGTACTAAAGCAGTTTTGTCTAAGCAGAAGTCAAATGGTTTCATATGAACACGAATGGAAAACAAAACACCCTTCACACTCTTCTCACCTCAGACACATCCCAGACGTAGTGTTGGCCCAGATCCGGCCCACATCTGGTATGTGTGGAGTCCATGTGATCTGGGCCAACACTATGTTGCTCTCTGGGATTCACAAACTGGCATCAAACACAAACGTCCAGCAGTAGATGCTCATGCACAAGGTGTTCACCCAACAGATCAAATCACATTTCTGTAAAGATGTAAATAAAAGAATAAATTAAACAAAAATCAGGTTTAAATTATGAGGAGTGTTTTGCATTTAGCTATTTTTTGCATGAGATTTGTTTGCACACGTGGCCAGATTTACTAACAGCTTGCTCCAGCATTAAACAATTACTGTCAGGATTTACTAAAGAGACTGCTCTTTTACTAAAGTGTAAAGAAATAGTGCTGAAAAGGTGTGGACAGGGTTATTTGCACATGTATTTGTAGGAGTTTTCTTTTCAAACACAACAGTTATGGATGAGTATTTAAATGTATCATGCAAGGTGATTTACTAAGGTTTGCACTAGTCAATTTGCTGGTATTTGCTGCATTATTTACCGCCCCAAAAAGCATTCTTTAACCAGACGGCTCTTGGTAGAGGTTTAGTAAATCTGGCCCATGTTCTCTTTAAGGAGTCAAACATGAAATTGCTCCAATAGACCATACAATTTAGATGATTTGTATTACAAGGTAAATTATTTTTAGGGGATAATTTCTTTCATCAATCTTTATGTATCACATGTGGTGATTCTCACAATCCCTAAACTCAACCAAAGACAAACTGAGAGCGACAGCACAGATAAGTAGAAAACACTGAAGATTGATCATCTTCTCATGGCAAGAGGTGCATACTCCACATGATCCTTCTCTTTAATATCCTGTAAACACACACACACACACACACACACACACACACACACACACACACACACACACACACACACACACACACACACACACACACACACACACACACACACACACACACACACACACACACAAAACAAGTGATGATAGGCTACTAAAAAGAAAATTTGACTATATTGGCAGTATAGTGAAGTAATGTCAGGTTGGACATTAACTATCTGATCTGATATGTGATTTTGATGTCAGATGGTTTAACAAAGTGAGATTCTGCAAAAATAAACAAATGTTAATTTGTAAAATAGAACTTAATCATTTTGTGAAAACAAACCATTTATGATGAAATAACTAAGTGCATCGTGGATCTACTTCCCAGCATGCTTTTAGCACTGTATTAGGAGAGTAAATGTTGAAATGAAGGAAATATTGCTTCAAATATATGTAGAAAAATGAATTACTTTATCTTGTCTGGAACTATAGAGCAACTTAAATAAGGAATCTTACCAATTTCTGTGTTTCTCTTTTGTGGAAAGTCGGATCAGCATACGTGATCTCTGTAACAGGAGTCTGAACTGTTTCTACAACAACAATAATAGATGGATTAACAACAAAACACAATCTTAACTAGATCTGTTTATTTTGCAACATGTTATTATTAGGGCCGTCAGAATTAAAGTATTAATATATGCAATTAAATATTTAAAACAAACGAGATAATCAGTGACCAAGAAAACCAAAACTGAACGGAGCAGATTAGTATCGAGCGAACGCCTACTTCATTTGCTTGCTTTGTTCAAGAGTGTCTCATCATAATGTAAATCCCTCCCCCTAAATGTATATAAATTGCAATGTAAAGTTCCCTTAGTTCAGACTAGATTTGGATGACTACAGCGACGCTCAGCGAGTTCTCAATAAAGAATCCTGCTTGAAAGATATCCCAACGTCTCCTTGTCTTCGCTTCTGAGTTTCCTACACTTTAGAAGAAAAAGTTCACAACAATACCTCTAACATTAGAGTTCCATAGCCTACAATATCAAATGAACTAGTGCCCACAAAGATACTGACCAAGTCCATAAATAAAACTAACAACAGGATACAAATGTGAAATTGTTTCCCCACTAACACACACCGGATAGAATACATATTTTTGATAAAATATTTTGCAACTGAAAAGCTACATCATTTAGGTTACACTTACCTTCTTGATCAGTTTTTCCGTGTTTCCTGCAGATCCAGAAGATCCCAAATCCAGCAACAATCATCAGAGATCCAGAAGCAGAGATCCACATTATCACAGACACTGGAGAGAGTGAAGAAGGCTGTTCATCCAGCTCTGTAATAGAAAAAAGTGAACGTATCAGTGTGATCTACAACAGAAGACAGAGATCAGGTCAGTAAACACACATATATCATCAGTGCTGCTGTACCTGCACATGTGTGACAGAGTGTGTTGATGTCCAGATGTGTGGTCTGGTTGCTGATGGGATTGTTCAGCACACAGCTGTAGGTGTTTTTATCCTGATATTCCACCTCCAGAGGTAGAGAGAGACTGATGCTGAGATCACACACACTGATGCTGGACAATACACTCATTTCTGCGTACCAGGAGAGAGTCGCATCACTCACATTCAACACTGATGAACACACCAGTGAACATGATGATGATGATGATGAAGAACAGTGTGAAGAGTTTCTGATGATGACAGGAACAGGCAGACGAGCTGAGAAACATGGGAAAATAAACCGATGTATTGATAAATCTACGCAACAGTTTTCAGTTCAGAGAGTTGAATGAGTGTTTGTACGGTCTGTCACCTCAAACTATAAAATTATTCATCAATTCAATATGTTCACATAAAACAAGCAAATGGAAAGGACAGGACAAATGATCTCTACTCACCATAGACAGAAACATTGAATGTTTTTGATGTCGATTTCGCTCCCCTTATCTCTAGTTTATAAACTCCAGTATGTTCAGTTGTGGTGTGTGTGATGGTCAGAGATCCAGTTTGATTGTCCAGCTTCAGTCTGTCTCTGAATCTCCCATCAGGAACATCATCATATGTGGAGAAGACTCGGCTCACGTTGCTGATTTTAGCTATCGAAGAGTTTTCAGCTCCAAATTTCCACAGTATATCATCATCTTCATGTATTTTAGTAACATTAGTATTTAAAGTGACAGAATCTCCCTCCATCACTGACACTGAATCACCAAACACACCTGGAGAACATGATTTCAATGGTTTATACATCCTGAAATCACTAAGACGAGTATAAAATAAACTCACTGTTTTATCACTGTCTCTCATGCTCTCGGGGTTCCTGCTTGTTTTGACTAATGAGTTTTGTAGCTGTATATTATAAACTTTATTTTTAAAAGGATAAAAATCGCCTTATTTGACTTATTTACCACTCCATTGAAAGGTTGGGCTTTCCAAGCCTCCATGCAGATCATAAACTGATATATTAACATTCACTAGAGATGTCCATTACTTTCCATGACTTTTAACATTTTATTTGGATGACATTTCTAGAGCTGGAAATTTCATTGTCTTCACAGAGACCTGAATTCAAAGAAAGATCTCACAATATTCATGATTTGTACATGTATAGCCATCAAAAATAGCAGCTTTTTCACCAAATTAAACCATAAAATATAACTTACCAATCAGATGGCACAAGCACAAACAGAACAAAGCAAACACGTGAAACATTTTCTTCCGTTGTTCAGTGTCTGATGACACTATCTGCTAAAACCTCAATCTGGTGTGAATCCTCCCACGACAGTTTGACCCTCCCAGTTTCACACACATCTGCACATGATATATTGTTATAGATCATCTGGCTGTTATTAAGATTTTAATGCTTCTTAATGGATTATTTATTTTTGTCATTTAACATACTCTTTGTAACTGTCTGACTGTTAAATGGCTAAAAGTAGATGAATATTGTGTGAATTGTGTATAAATTACATTTCATGTTAAAATAGAGCGTAACTCAAGTTCACTCAATTCATTTTTAAATTGTTGTGTTTATTTGCATATTTATTCAATTCTCAGAGAACGGAAAATGAAAGTAAATAGTTAAACCCGTCTGCCATCTCAAAGTTTTACTGAAGTTCGTCGTCAGAGTCAAACTGAAACCTGCTGCGGTCTGATTCCTGTTAGCAGACACTCTTCTGTTCAACATGATCTGCTTCACTGGTGAATTATTAACTGTTTATTCCAGAATAATACAACACATGAATTTACAGTTGTTTTTAAAAAAAAATATATATATATACATAAAAGTGTGTAAGGGAACACAGAACGATACATTCTTATTTTGGAAATACAAAAGAAAATGCATAACCTCAGCAGCAAAAAAAAAGAAAGAAAAAGAATCAGCATCTTTATAAAAATGCTTCACAAAAGGCACTGTCTTGCAGGTTACAACACATTTGTTACAAGTAAATACAAAGAAAACCATTCACTTTTGCACAAGTCAACAATAAGGACATTGAGTAGACTAAAGGGCCAGCCCAGACTCTGTTAGAGCCCTAAGCGAGATTTTAGATAAATAAATAAATATGTATATTTCATATGAACTGCAATTTACTATTGTGACGATCGGCAGCTGTAGTGCCCTCGAGAGCCACTGGAGGGCACTCTCTCATTGTGTTTTCCCCATGGACTCATTATGTGTTATTATGTTCAGCTGTGTTGCATTATTGGTTATTGAGTTCCTGATTTAAACCTGTGTTTCTCCTTTATCCTTTGCGAAGTCTTGTTTCACTGTTGTGTACATCTCCGAGCGTTTCCTAGTTTTCCAAGTCTGTTTAGTCTCTTGAGTCATTACTAGTTAGTTACCATGATTCTTACTTGAAAAGCCAATCCTAAAGTGTAGAATCTTCTAATCCTTCACAAGATATTTGCACACACGTATATGAGCTAGGAGACAAATAAAAACATATATTTTTTTATATAATAAAATCACTGTATATGGTATTTGGATGGCTGATAACTCAATATGTTCCAGCCGTCACCGTGACTCTGGCCAATTTTCTGGCATTCCTCTGGACTGGCATTGAATCACTACAGGACAAGTAAGGTCCCGACAACTGCATTTAAAAAGCCATTTCTTTAAAATGATTCAGTTGATAAATGGTTATCTTGGAGAGAGCATAGGCTAATTATTTCCCAAATCATAAGTCTGCTATTCTATTACATATTGATAAACCTTGTGTATTTGTTTACAGTAGCAGTTATTAATGTTAATGTAGTGCTAGTCATTTGTCCTGCATTAGTTATTGATTAGTTTTGCATGAATTATTGATCTTTTTCAGTAGTTCTCTGGGAACCATTAAAAAAATAGTAGTTATCAATTAGTTAATAGTGAACTACCACTTTCATCTGTGCGCTGTTACTTACTAATTCGTTAATCAGAATTTCTTGTTAGTTAATAGTAGTTACTAGATTGTTAATATTGTATTACTCATTTGTTCCTGTGTAGTTATTCATTAACGAAGGAACCGTATTCTAAAGTGTTACCCAAAAATCTGTTAGTGAACTTTAAAATGTGCAAAGTGATACAGGGATTGTTACAATTTATTTAGCCTATAGCTGACCATGTCAAATGTAATACATCATGATTAATCTCACTTTACTCATTTTAAAATAGCAGTGCAGAATAAGTAATGAATAAATTATTTAAAAAACTTGCTTCTGTGGGAGCCATTAATTTTACATTCATTCTGGCACACCCTGCATTCATATTTCACATGATATCTCAGGTACGATATGATTCATATAGTGCAATGATGTTGTTTATCTGGATCGAATTCACAGCAATTATATAATCACAGAAACTTTATTTTGACAAAAAAAGGAAGCTGTTTCTTCTGAACCTGAACTGAACCTGCAGGATGACTTTTCCCTTACACTCAGACAGTGAGGCTTCTGGCTTTTCCTCATAGATCTGAAGCACTCAGACCTAACCGTGACCTCTCCTGACTCCTTGTTTGAAACTGTGATTAACATAGAGGTTAGGGAATTGCATTTCAGAAACACAAAATATTCATGACGTTAACCGATCATTTTGCTAACATTATTAACTTTCATTCCTTACTGTGCCAACTTTGGCTAGTAAAGAGCCAATGAGCTAGCATGTATCGTTTTTTGGTAAACTCAAAACAGAGGCTTGTTAACTTACCTTCATAGTTGTTTATGTAATGGACACATATCATTTAAAACCTTTGTCCTTTTTTGATGTTGGTATCTTCGATGTGGCCTGGATGATCCGATGTACATCGTTTGCCGTTATACTCGGCAGGTCCTGCAGCGATCGTGTAAAAGACAACATAGCTACCACGTACGTTAACGTGAACCGGAAGTACTGAAGCTGGCTGATGATTCCGGAAGCATCAGAACGGAAGTGCGTGGCATTTAGCCTATTATAATTGCTGATCTTGTGTTTTACTTCAGATGGAAGAACAGGGGTCTTACTGTTCACATTTACAAACATCAGATGGTAAAACACATTTCTGTAACTGAATCATCAATTCTGAACATTTGTCCTACTTTCTGTTAATTAATTTTCTTCATTTCAGATGATTTGTGTCCCAGAACAAAATGTCCCTGGTTAAAAATTCAATGAAGTATGTCACTGAGACCGACGTCGCTTCATCAACCTGAGAATCCACAGATAGATGCTGCAAAAAGGACGTCCCTTAATCAAACTACGACTACTCAGACGGGTGTCCCTGACAAGGCGTCCAGTAATTGGACCGAGCCTCTGCTGATGGGACGTCCCTTATTCAGACTGAGACACTACATGACATTAGCAGCAGAAAAAACAAAAGTGCTTGAGGATTTCCAGTATGTAATGGTGGAAGGATTATTACATCTGCTAAAGGATCCAGACAGGAACAGTGCAGGATTATTTTTTCTCCCAGTATTGGGAAAACCACTCAGGGGTGTAAGTTAGTCAGAATCTGCTTAAACGCAAAAGAGTTTTTTGTTCAGTGCCGAGTTCTTTATAGTTCACAGCATGTTATGTTGGAATTAGGGCCGGGACTCGATTAAAAAAATTAATCTAATTAATTAGAGGCTTTGTAATTAATTAATCGAAATTAATCGCATTTTAATTGCATAAATATTTGACCTGAGAACAGTGAGAAGTAATTTTTTTCACATGGATTTTCAGTATACTATTGAATAATGACTGAATACATAAGCTTAATCAACAACATAGTTTATTTTTGTTCAACCAAG